GCGAATACAAATTTATTTGTTAAGTTTTATCTGCTGGGGTTGTGGAAATGTTTGGCTGAGTAGATCGCATCTCAATTTGACCTTTCCAGGCTGTGAAGAAGACGAAACCGTCGAAACGTCAGCTATCGTATCCTAATAAATTCTATACTACCAATCTCGCGTCTGATTATTGAAGAAAACAGCGAATACTTCAATTCTAGTGGCTACATTGAATGATACTTATCGTGTAGAGTGTATGAGTATAGAAAACACCGAAATAGGGACACGTAAGTGCAAAACACTTCCGAGTGTTGACAGTAACGTGATTGCATGATGGATCACGGTAACACATAGTAAATACTTACTTACTTGATACTTGAATGGCCCGTCCTCACTGGTTGTTCGGCCCCCAGCATAATCATCATTTTTCGGTTATTTGTTGCTTAAGCCATCATGGTTCACTGAAGTCTAGAGGTCAGCCTGGCCAAAGTCTGCCCCAAGTCTTCACCGCCACGGGGAGTCGCAGGCCTTGTGGATCAGAGGGAGATTTACCACCAAGCGACTTTGACACCAGGGCGGTGGTGGATTCTGGTATAGCTTTACTCTTAGCTAAGCTTCCTGATGGAAACGCCGAACTCCTTCTCAGCTTGGGAGACTGCGCCAGTTTTTTCTGATTACTCTCGAAAGGGATTTCACATGTGCATAATCGGTTTCAATAATAGCAATCGTCTTGACTTTCAGAAAATCCACACTAGCCCAGCCACGTTTTCACGTTTCATGCATATTGCAACACATTCACGTTTGTTTAGTAATACAACAACTCATTTGCCACAAAAACCTCCGATTTGAGCCTTACCAAAGTCAAGCAATGACTGATCTCTTAAATGAAATAAAGTTTCGTTTAACACTTCCGGCGATTTCTTTCTTAATCTTTCATGCTCTACCAACTGGTTAGGTGCATCAGTACGTGCCCAAGTTGCAGATAGTTAGTAATTGCGGACCACAAACTGGTGCCAAGATAAGGAGGTATATTCAGGAGATAGGATTCTCGTTTGGTCTACGCCAGGTTCAATTATACTCCCTCTCTACAATTAATCGTATTCATGCATGCGTGAATGGGCGTGCGTGCGTGGTTTTCATCTTGCATGCCGCTTAGGCTAAAAAGTTTAGTTCAAGGTGTAGAATGTACAAAGGGGACGGTTTGGAAAAGCCTCCAGTAAATGACTCCCATATTTTGTTCCATAGAGTCCAATAGAATGTTAGTAAGTAAATCCTGCCCAAATGCCAGAGAAACTCTTAAAAAATAGCACTCATTTCTTAATGGACAAGAAACTTAATATTTTAGGTCTACCACCACTCGAATCATCAGTGCACCAAGAATTTCAACAACAACGAGACCTACTACAACAACCCAACGAGTTCCAACTGGTACGCCATGATAATGCAGCGCTGAGAAATAATACATCACTACTCACAAATAAATAGTTCAACCCACATCCCGACCAACTAAATCCTACTTTCTTGTGCAGTTAGTGGATTTGCATTAGATTCATGTGGAATTTATGATACACTGAGTTACCTTTAGCTTGAGCCAAAGACTCTTATAGGTTCCATATTCGTCTTTAGATTTGTGTTAGATTGGCGAAAAACTAATGCGGTAAAAGGTTTATATTTGATTTTAAGAGGTTATGAGGTGGATTATATTCGAGTGAATTATAGAATAAGGTTTCCACTAGAGTATAAAGAGAGGATGTAAAGAAGACTAAGTACACAAAGTGAAACGGACCAACCGTAACGAAAGCCCCGCGCACGACTCCACCATGTCATACTGTTTCTCGTGCCCCACGTCCAGTACAAGAACTGAAATGATGCAACCATCTCGAAGTTTTGACAACACCGAAACACAACCACAACGTTGCTGAGATATTTGCAGAACTCTGGACCGCAGGTGTCTATGGTGGAGAACGAGCGCGCTATTGTCCTTTCCGGGGATCAACGCGTTCACCACCACACCATGCGGGTCCTCCGTTTTGTCTGTCGATAGATCGATCTGTGGCAAAGATCGATAGATATAGCGGTCCAGAGTTTTGCAAATATCTCAGCAACGTTGTGGTTGTATTTCGCTTAGTACCCTGTCGCAAAATTATAGTAGGCAGAAAATAAAAAGGTATAACATCGAAACAGTTTAAAATTCTATTTAATCTCGCCTATCTCGATTTTTTTAGGTTTCTTTCTAGACTATTCACTATGCATAGAATTACAGTCAGTAACAAAAACAAGTTAAGGGTGTGTCGCTGACGTGATCTTCCTCATGGATTTCTCAGACAGCAATGGAAATAGTAGTAAACAGTTTGTTTTCAAATGTTATTAGTACTTTACTGGAACCTTATTTTAAACATCGTTTTCGTCAAGAATTACAGCACCACTTCATAATGGAAATCTTATTGCAGCTACTTGGATGTGGCTGCAGCTACTGTGGGAAAGCTACCAATAGCACCCAATGCCGTACGGGTAAGATATTTCATCGTGTGTGTCCAGCTCTGGATAACTTACACTTATCATTGTTCACTACTAGTAGTGAGACAGTATATCCATAAAGATCTACGAGGCACAACGAACCGGCTTGAATTTCATATTCCAGATTCTTTTGGCATAAATGATTTCGTTAAACAAAGCATACAACGATTTCTAAGTCCGCTCTAAGGTTTACCGTTTCATTGTGGATAGGAGGTGTTCCTGGGTGTCGAATTGCAATGTACAGCAAGTGATGCATTTCCTGCCAGGGTCTCCCAAGCTGAGAAGGAGTCCGGCGTTTCCATCAGGGTACCTAGCTAAGAGTAAACCAACACCAGGGCCCACCACCGTCCTGGTAACAAACACGAATGGTGGAATATCCTTCTCTGATCCACAAGAGTTGTGGCTGCCTGTGGTGGTGAAGACCTGGGACAGAGTTTGGCCAGGCTGACTTCAGGTTTTCAGGGAGCCACAATGGCTTAGCCAGCAAATCTCCGAAAAATGGAGATTATGCTGGCGCCCGCACTACCAGTGAGGAAGGGCCATTCAAGTACCAAATATCAAGTAAGTAAGTAAACAGATTATCACGTTTGCGTCTTCGAACAATGAAACGCGGTCGGGGTTGCCTAAGTAAACGGAAGTTTAGAGAAATTTTTTATGTATTTGGAAGGAAAGAACTAAATTGATAGTCGACATGTTTAAGCAGCTAAAAATGTCTAACAAATTAGATAATGTAGATAGCGTGAAATCATTTCGACCATTCATGTATACCAGGTTGAAAAAGAAATCTCTCAAAACTCAGCAAAATGGAGCGTCGGTTGTTATTGCAAATTCAGGAACTGTTGCAAAGGACTAGACATCTATCTACTCTTCATCTATGCGTTACGAAATGAGTTGAAAAATATTAGAAATCGTGAAAGCAGGATTACAAGTGGAATTGTACAATTTAGTGAGGAGGCACTTAAGTGCAGACGATGCCAAGTTCTACCGCCCTCTGTTTCAGGCGGCTGGCTGTAAACCAAACAGTAGACTTATTTGTGGAAGAGAAAACAAGTTTTAGTTCCACAACTCATCTTTCAAACGTCATGCGCGAACACATTTAATTCCGATGTTAAGGTGTCGCTCATAAAATACTCGGGACCAGGACGAACAGAAACCCTCTTCCATCTGGACAAGCACAAAAAGAAAGACAATCTTATCGAGTAAGTACTACTTCAGTCTGAAGCGATAAACTTGGAGTTGCTGAATAGAAGTATTTCGAGATCAGTAAGGATGCGGGAAGAGAAATTAGGCCATTTCACCATCAAAAAGCATAAATACTTTGAATGAATCAAAAAAGTGTTTAGAGAGCTCTTTCATAATGAAGCAACTGGAGGAACAACTAGAACCGGTGAAGCGATTCGTTACGCTGTCAAAGAATTTGCGAATCCGAAACACGGAGCGCGGAAGAATGCTCAGAAATTTATCGTTGTCTTCACTGATGGATACTCACAGGTTTGTAATAATATTAGAAAAAATACAAAATAAATAAGTAATAAGGAAGGCAGCCTAGGGGTGCGAATCACATGCTTACGCCGCCGCGATTCTCTAATCCATCGTTGATGGGTTTTTGCAGGCCTCTTTTGTAACACCTTCGACCTCTTTTGTCGATTTTGAAGGGCCTCGACTAAGATCCAGTGACAACTACTATTTGCTAGAGCACTTTTTCCTGGGATATTCATGAAAGAAACTGCACATTGTGTTGGCAGTTATGTGTGCGCGAAACCTTGGAGTTTGCGATAGTCTCCTGATAATGTTAACTTTTTTATTTATTGCCTTTTAAATTTCTCCAATGCAAAGTATTATGTGTGATGGAACCACAAAGATGCTGAGATATTTGCAAAACTCCAGACAACAGGTGTCCGCGTTGGGGAACAAGAAGCTATTACCTTTTCCGGACGCTAACGCGTTAGCCACCACACCATGCGGTTCGTCGTTTCGCCTGTTTAACAGCTAGTTTTCTGTCGATCAGTGCCATCAGCAATCAACTGTGAACGGGATTGATCTGGGATAGTGAATAAGGATAATAGTGCCCTCGTTCACCACCGCAAACACCTACGGTCCGGAGTTTTGCAAATATCTCAGCATCGTTGTGGTTGTATCACAGATAATCTCCCGATACTCTGCTATGGACGTAGGTTCGAGTTCTAGAATCCTTCCTCACATCAGTAAAGCGGATAATGACAACTTCAGCCTGTCGGGCGCATATTAAACAAGGCTAATAGCACTTCTACCCTGATTAATACCGCTCCGCTTTCATGAGGCTCACATAAAAGTGAGTAGAACCGGGAAGTGGAATAAAAGGGTGTGAGGCCAGGTGTTTCCTCTGTCTTCCTTACGCTCAATTCCGAATTAAATTGCTATTCACTTTTTACATGACCACACTGTAGTCCAAAAACGGAGCATTCAGAACTATTCCTTTTGTTGAACGTGAAAAAGGAATAAATAAACTGTGAAGTAGCAGGACTAAAAATGATCTGGCCACCCACCTTTGAGTTCATTCCCATGTTGCACTTTTTTCTTATAACATGGTCGAGGTAACAAGAAACAGTTCTTTTTTCCTCAAACATTCTATCAGCTTATAGGATCTCGATGCCACTACTATAACCATTCAAACCGGTGGGCATGTCTTTGTAGAATGATGAGAAATCTGGTTATGAAGAGAATCGCACAAGCGGAAAAGGACTCATGCATTCAACGTAAAACCTTGTCAGTTGTAGGTGCCAGAAACTACCTCCGTCTGTTAGAAAACCTAGTCCCAAGCTGGGAACACTTACAAACTTTCTATTTGTTTCATTTTATACGACTCTGCACATTTACTGTGTGGAGCTCAGCACTTTTCGCATTCGATCCGATCCGCATCCATCAACCACGATGGCCTTCCAACTTTTACACATTGTTTTTAGCTGCTGTTTGAGGACTTTTCTTTCATGTCCAATGTCGTTGAATACCTGTGGAGTCGATTTCCACTGCGGTGTTGAAATAGGCAGGCTAGAACGTTCCCACTTGGATTGCAGGGAGCGAACTTTTCCCATACAAGTCTGGTACCAATTTCCCGCTACCGGAGGGATAAAAGGTTTCGTGTCTGCTGCTGCACATGCAAGTGATTCGTCAACTCAAAGAACATGGCGCGTAACTGTTTCTCGCAATAGATCATTGAGGTATTTGCAGAGGTGCTGTCTATTTTGGGAATCTTCTTAGAAACTATGCTAGTTTACGTGGCTGCAGAAGTCCCAAAAAATCCTAATGGGAGGTGGTTGCCGATGTCTAGCACTTCGACCTTGGCATACGGTGGAACAGTCGTATTGCCTTCTAGTTGTCTAGGTGTTCTGGATTTAAGCGAATGAAGTATAATAGGAAGAGCTTGTGTGTTCATGATAAATAGCAGTTCTTTTTATGGCAGGAGCGACTGTGTGTGACCCTAGAAGAAATCGAGCGGAAGTTTTGCATGTCTTTTTCTACTGCCAACCTGTATGCAGTAGCAATTGAACTAAACGATCGTTTGGATTTAATTGACAACATTCCGATGGGTTTTGCGTATGGTCTTCTAAACCTCTTCTATCGCTGACAACCCTGTTCATAATGGCAAAATAGGATATTTCTTACCAGTTTTGCTCATATTCGTAGATTTTGACCTTAAATTACTCAAACACTTACCAAAGTCCAATATTAACATAGAACTCGGTTATGATTATTTTATAGGATGTATTGGTCTCTGTAGCCCTTTTCAAGCACTTTTCAGTTAGAATCTTGATCTTATACTCATCAAAGGTTATTGCTTGACCATAGGTGGACCGAAGCCCGCACTAATATCTATATTTTCAGCAACAAACTTTCGAATTTTCAGTCATTAAGACAATTATTTTTCTCATAGAATTCGTTTATACGTAGATACTTACTCTTTACATTTCTCTACTGATGATCTGAACTGTTATTCCTTTCAAGCATCACAAACAGTAATCAATTCACGTGGCTCCCTTTCTTAGTTCACCTAAGTATGGTCCTTCTTATTTTGTACCAGCAGATGTTAATCTTTCTATATCGGCGTGTAACGTATTGCTAGCCGAGATAACCCTCTCCATATTTGGTAGCTGGTGTTATTTCGCTCTTTGGCCAACGCAAGTTCGCGTGCCTCCAAAGTCGCTTAAGTAGTACCAAACTAGTCTGATGAGGTAGAAAAGAACACCGATATAATGCATCGATAAGCCACCAGAAATCATTGCATGGGATAAATTTGCATTAAATCACCTCTTATTAAAGTCGAATACAAGGCACATCAGTAAAAATTGATCAACGCCAAACGCTATATCCTCTATTCCTTTGAATTGAATTTAGAACACAACAGATTTAGGATGACCCTTCAACAGCTGCTGATGAAGCCAGGAGAGCGAGCATAACTATGTTAGCGGTGGCCATCCACGATACCAGAGTGCCACCAAACGAGGAAGAATTAGCAGAGATCACAAAAAATCGAAATGTCAGTGAGGATCCTAAAAATTTGTTCTAAACTTTTTAAAGAAAAGCAGAATGTATTTTAATGCAATGTAAAGTGTATATAGAAAATACTGTTAATGGAACCAAATTGGTACACATTTGGTTCACCAGTGAAATCTGATCAGTGTGAATTTTCAGTTGGTCCTCATCTCTCCAAATGGACAACAGCTGCGTGATAAAATCCTAGGAAATCTATGTTATTTGTGATCTATTTACTTTAAAACTCAGCGACATTATCTATGATTAGTTCAATGAAGGATTAAAGCTGGAGAGTTTTGTTGTAAATGGGTCTTCTTTTTAGTTAGAAACAAGTTGATAAAGAATTTGAAGCAATCTGGGAGAATGAGCGACCTCAGCTGAAGTCAGCGTTCTTTTGAAAACTCTCTTTAAAAAGTCGGAAATGAGATTAATATTTCCTTGGATGACCCCAAACTACTTATCGTGCAGATTCCAACAGCTCTTTCCGTTCATTCGTTTCCGACCACCCATATCCACGAATGTTTTTAGATTGGCAGGTGAGTTCGGCTTCTGATAACGGATTTCCTACATTCCCGCGAATGTCGTAATATGTTCGGTTGAGTCGAGTGTCCGTGGAATTCTGGAGCAGGAGTATTTAAAATTCTCCAAATCCTCTTTGCGAGGAGGCTTTGGTGTTTCGAAGGAGCAAACTGATTCGAAACTAGTTTATTGCCAATTTCCCGCCCATGTATGTTTGAGTTTTTTGCGCACTGGTGCCAATCAAGAAGACTCCAGTGGCAGAACCAACAACAACAACAACAACAACAACAACAACCTTTCACTGTAGTTTGTTTTTTGGGGCTAGCTCTTCATCCAAACTTTATCTCAATGTTTTTCTTCAATAAGCAGACACGTGGTTGTTAATATAGAATTTATTAGAATACGATAGCTGACTTTTTGGCGGTTTCTCCTTCTTCAGAGCCGTTTATTTGTTGTAAGTATTTAAGTATTTTAAGTATTTTTTATCTCAATGGTTGTTGTTTCGTTGCCGTTTGAGATGGCTAGTTGACGTGCCACATGTTGCGATTCCTCTTCCTCTTCTTCTCCAAGGAACGTGTTTGTACCTGTTCGCTACGTGCTTGCTTGGGACAGGTCCTTTTTATATCTGAGGAATGAGACGAGCGTTATTGTGCTATTATATCCTTGCTTAATATGCTGTGACTGTCCATTCAGTAATTCAGAAAGCAATCGGCTATGTATCAATAATAAAGTAAGGAAAATTAGAGCTCACTGTTGACCAACTTATCATCCATGATCCTGCGCCAAATCTTTTGCTGATCTTTCGACCTCAAAGCGATGATTCTTAGTTCCACATGGGTTGTATGATTTTCTACAAATCAAACTGTACAAAAAATAGGAAGTGCTTAAAAATGCCCAACCACATGAATGGAATGAAGTCTATAGAATCTATTCTGTCAGATTATGAAAGTGTTCGACCCACTAAAGTGCATTGTTCACGATTAAGCTGACGTTTCGGCGGATTTCGCCTTCTTCAGAGCCTGGAAAGGCCAAGTTGATAGCAACTCACTCGGCCAGACGCCTCCATAACCAAACAAAGAAACTCCAAACCAAGATTTCAATCACTTTGAACACAGCTTTGCACACTCACCGCTTTCTATGAGGTTTCCACTAAGTATGTCACGTAGAGACCAACCGCACAGAAATCACGTGGAAGTATAATGTGCCCCTCACATCAGAAAAGCAGTTTTATATACTGCCCTATATCACGCGTGATAATGAGGCATTCTTCCCTGCGGTTCATTTTCGGATTTCTGGAATTAATCCAGAGTGCCTCGAGAGTCTTTCGCGCCCGTGTTCTTGATTCGCGTGCGAGGATCGTGACACATACTTCGAAGTCGCCCCCGTTATGTCTCTGGGTCCTATGCGTGCCTAGCGGGGTATTTGGTCTATTTTTGCCGGCTAGGTGTTCTTTCATGCGGACACAGAGGGAGGACTTGAAGGAGGAGGCGCCTGGCCGAGTGAGTTGCTATCAACTTGACCTTTCCAGGCTCTGAAGAAGGCGAATTCCGCCGAAACGTCAGCTTAATCGT